CTCATATGTTAAGCTTTTTATTTCTTTTGTTTCTTGGCACTTAATGATCTCTTTTTCTTCAAGGACCCTAAATTTTAATGTTTCAAATGTTGTTCTTGAGACATTAATGCTCAAGTAAATGTGCCCCAACCTTTGGAAACTGCTTTCCAAGTTTTCTTCAAGTCAGGGATTAGCAACCTGTGTTCAATCTATGGAATTGTTTTCTTTCTCTAAAGATCTGAGACTGAGAGTCAAAGTAACTTTCACAATGCTTGTGAGTGCTGTATTTTGCTTGTGGAATCCTGATTCTGCTGACAGATGTTAAAAAACATATGTAATCAGACAGCTTCATAAGTGGCTACACATGTCTGGTTACTTAAGAGGACAAGTCTTTCCAGCTCAAATTGGCTTTCACTGTAGCTCATTTTTTCCCTTTGAATCATACTTAGCACAGGTTTTTATAATTTTATTCTCTCTCTCTTTTTTTAAGATTAGAAACTCCTAGGAATTTTCTTAACTAGGAACACTAAAAACTATGCACCTAAATACACATTCAAAAATGTTGCGTGGGTGTCTAGGATTTCGGGGAAAATTTTATAAGCCTTTGGTAGAAGATTCCTCTTGCACCAGTGGAGAAAATGAGTCTCCTCTTTTCTAAGCTCTTAAAAACCTAAAGCCAGGTAGATGGCAGTCTTATAAGACTTTTCACATTTTAAGTGCCTTTTCAAAAGTTAAGCAAGTTATGACACATGGCGTTCCTAGAGTAGTGTCTAGTACGTTGTTAAGAATTCATTATACATTGTCATTTATGTGATTGTAAAATGTAAGAAAATACTTCTAGACCCTGAATTGAATCAGAAAATATAAAAGAAGAACCTTCCTGATAGTATACAGAAGGAAAAAAGGCTTCTTTTATATTAATTGTAGAAGTAGAAAAACTGTTTCTGGCCGGCTATTCTCTAACATGCGTTGTGAAATTTGGACAATGAATGGAAGATGAAAGAATTGATGTGTTTGAATTGTGGTGATGATGAAAAGTATTGGATGTCCCAAGGATGGTCAAAAGAACAAACGAATCTGTCCTGGAGCAAATGCAGCCAGGGTGTTCCATAGAGGCAAGGATGGGGATAATTCGTGTCACATATTTTGGGTACATTATCAGGAGGGCCGTTTCATGGAGAATGATGCCATGCATGGAAAGGTGGAAGATAAAAAGAGAGAAGACTCTCAGCAACATGGATTTATTAAGTGGCAGCTTCAATAGACGTAAGTATAGTGGAGACTATGAGGAAGATGGCACAAGACCAGGCAAGGTTTTGATCTGCATTTACACCCCAGGTTCTATAAGTCAGTCAGTTGAATGGCTCCTAACAACAACATTCTCTATTTTTTCTTTCATTTAGTAAGCTACTGTAAAGAAGTATATGGTATTTAGGGTTGTGATTAATACTAAGTTATCAAAATAAATCTGTATTCAATTTAGGAAGCCTACTTTCAGATGTCGCTGCTCACTGGCCTCCCAGCTGGACTCCCTAACATGCATGCCTCTGAGTGCTCCTGCTCGCAGGCTATCTGGGCCAGCTCCATCGCTCCCTGATATGCATCTGGGTGCTGCTCCTCAAAAATAGATGCAGCCCTTGGTGTGCTCATCAGATTGTGCCAATAAAAATGGAGAACAGCCACCTGGCCAAGTAACTGGAAGAGATTTCTATTTATTCCCTCCCCCAAAAGTAACCCAACTGAATGTGGAAGTGATTGAACAATATCACTAATATTACATGCAAGCAAAATCTTTCTGAAAATTATCCAAAAACTACTAGAACAGTACATCAAAAGACAACTGCTAGAAATATAAGGTGAGTTTAGAAGAAGCCATGGCACTAGGAATATCACTTCTGATGTCAAATGGATCTTGGTGGAAAGCAGCAAGTGGCATCCAGAAGGATGTATATTTGTGTTTTAATAACTATGCAAAGACATTTGACTGTATGGATCACAACAAATTGTAGCTAACATTTAGAATATTGGAAATCCCAAAATAATTGCATTGTGAAAATCTGCTCTCATGGACCTCTCCAGAGTGCTGAAGAGCAATGATGTCAGTCTAGATACAAAGGTGTGCCTAATCCAGGCCATGGTTTTCTCAATTACTTTTTATGCTTCAGAAAGTTGGACAATGACTAAGGATGACAGAAGAAGAATAGATGTCTTCGAGTTGTGGTGCTGGAGAAGTCTTGAACATACCATAGACTGCCAAGAAACCAAATAGGTCTTGGAGGGGGTGAAACCAGGTCTGTCCTTGGAGGCTAGGATTTTGAAGCCCTATCTCATTTGCTTTTGGCACGTGGCCAGGAAAGATTGGTCCTTGGAGAAAGACATCAGACTCAGAAGGGTGGATGGACAGCGCAGGAGAGGGAGACCCCAGATGAGATGGATTGATACAGTAACTGTGGCTATGGGGGTAGGTGTGTCAAAATTAGTGAGACTGGCTCAGGATAGGGCAGGATTCAGAGCTTCTGTACATAGGGTCATTATGCATCGCAGGTGACTCAGCCTACAACATTCTGTGACGGGTTTGGAAGAAGGAGTGGCATCCACTTCCTAAACAACTTGCCTCTAGAAACTCTCTGAACTTTGATAAATGTCAGCAGTTGTAGAAGGGCTTCAAGCCTTTTGTTCATAGGGTCACTATTAGTCATGTTCAATTTGAAGGCAATCAACAACAACATGTAAAACCTATACCTGGACTAAGAAGCTGTTGTCCAAACAGAGCAAGGGAACACTGCATGGCTTGTTTTTACCCAACATTCAGAGATGAACTATGACCAATTTAACTAAAATTATTTTTAAAAATAAGGGGGAAATGGGAATACAATAGAGTTGTTTTGTTCAATGATGTGAGTAAAAAACTTTAATACCAAACTCAGGCAAAGCATTACCAAAAATAAAAATAATAGACCAATATCTTGTATGAACATAAATGCAAAAATCTTGGCTAAAAGGATCAAAAAGTATATAAAAAATAATTCATCATGACCAAAATAATTCATTCATAACAAGTATGCAAGGATGGTTCAATAATAGGAGAGTTGATGTAGTTCATCACATTCACAAAGCAATGAATAAGAGTTACATGACCCTATCAATTGTTGCAGAAAAGGCCTTTGACAAAATACAACACCCCTTCCTGATTAAAACAATCAACAAAATAGGACTAGAAAGGAATTTCTTCAACATAATTAAAAGTATATGTGAAAAACAAAGAGCCAAAATAATTCTCAATGAAGAAAGACTAAAGGTGTTGCCATTGTGAACAGGGGCCAGATAAGGTTGTCCACTATCACCACTCCCATTCAATATTGTGTTTGAAGTACTTGCTAGAGCAAGTATGAAGGCAAGAAAAGGGGGGGGAAAAGGATTCCAAACTGGCAAACAGGTGGTAAAACTGTTATTTTCACATAACAACAACAACAACAGCAGCAAAAAAACTGTTATTTTATCAAGACTGTATGATATTATATACAGAGCATATTGAAGACTTGACAAAAAACTCATTATACATAGTAGATAAATTTAGTAGTCTGGCAGAATATAAGAGCAATATACAAAAATCAGTAATCTTTTTCTATAGCAACACAGGAAAAGAAACTAAGAAAGCATTACCATTTATAATAGCCAACACCAAGATAAACTATTTGGGAATAAACCTAATGAGAGACATTAAAGACATTTCTATGGAAGTCTGCAGGAAATGATAAGTTAAAGAATATTCCATGTTCATGGATAGAAAACTCAACATAATGATAATGACTGTCCTACCAAAAGCAATAAACATGGTCAATACAATCCCAATACAGATACCAAACTCATTTTTCAAGAAATAGGAAAGGTGATTCACAGGTTTATTTAGAAAGGAAAGATACCTTGAATATGCAAAGCTTTTCTGAAAAATAAAAGTGAGGTAGAAAGCTTAGGCCTCCCTGATATCAAAGCCTACTGCATAGCCATAGTAAACACAATAGCAAGAAATTGGTACAATGACAGACACATATATCAATAGAACAAAATAGAGAACCCAGAAATTAACCCGTCTACCTAAAGTCACTTCTTGCCACTATGCACAATGTTCAAATCCACCAGCTGCTTCACAAGAGACGAATGGGCAGTCTCCCCTCTTGTGATTAACAGACTCTGAAAACCCGCCAGAGGGTCAGGTATGGGCTGGTTCCAACTCAACGGTATACCACAAAAACCAAAAGTCAATTGAATTTGACAAGGAATAAAATCTTATCAAATGGGGAAAGTGCAACCTCTTCTCCAAATGGTGCTGGTAAAT